GCCCCTGTGATACAACATTTAATGACCTGAATTCTATGCGCGGTCGACATGTTCGGGAGTGGATCGAATGTTGTGTTAATTTAACGTGGTTGAGGTTTGCTGTGTTGTTGCACACCGTAGGTTTCACGTCCATTTGAAGCGTGCGACCGTCGGCTGTTCTTTTCAAAGGAAATCGACGTATATACCATGGACTAGTCTGACTAACTGGGGGCTTCGAAACCAGGCGTGTGCAGCCAAGAAGCGATTGCCCTTAGGACTACTGAACATCTGCATGGCTTGACCTCAACAGGGTTAACCAAATTACACCGGTTGCTCGCGATTGAGGGGTCTTCCAACTCTTAGTCGATTCCCAAAGCGTTACATGCACCGTTACGCGGCGTTTCTACCCTGCGTTCAGTTAACCACCTAGCTGCATGTTACTCGTCACCCACCTACCGCACTGGAACGCCTGTCGCTCGGTCGGTCGGTCGTTCGTGTGTGGTCCGTATATGTAACATGTGAAACTTAGGTATGGGTGCGCGTTACACATGTTCGTAAGCAAGAACATGCGCAAACGTGTCACTTTTGTAAAAGTGAGGTGTCAAACTGCCCTGGGTTGATAGCCGATCCGCTAAATTGCGCTAGTGCGTTTGTCTACCGACAAGGCTGCCTGAAGCCAAATGGGTGTTGGTGTGGCTGTGTTTCTGTGATCAGACAGACGAAATTTGTCCGCATCGCACTTGGGAGTTGTTAGTGACGGTGGTGGTCCTCTTAACTGTAGTGAAAGAACGTTTCAAATGTCAACGTGTAGTTCGATTCATACAAAGGGATGAGATTGTGTGTTCTCGTGTATGTTCATCGAATTTCATGTTTTGCCCAAAAAAATGGGCTGTGCGCGTTGTGGAACTAAACCGTGTTCTGAAAAACTGTAATACGTATGTTCGCTCTTGCTCAGTTGATGTAAAATAATATGCAACAACTTTGTGAAGACCAAAAATGATACAGACGAGTGCAGAATCGGGAATAATAGCAAAGTAGGAATCAGTAGATTTTTTTCATGGTTTTTAGTAGATCCATAATCATCTCTGGGGAAGGATGCGTTGTTTGCAGAATGTTTGTTTGTAAATTATTTCGTTTCGCTAATCTCGTGCAATCTGTTTTCAAGTAGGAAATGAGGCTGACGGAATCTCGGGGACTACGCCTACCTGATGAGCTAAGGAGAAAAATTAGTGTATTTCGCTAATCTCGTGCAATCTGTTTTCAAGTAGGAAATGAGGCTGACGGAATCTCGGGGACTACGCCTACCTGATGAGCCCCAATAAGGAGAAAACCGGTCGTGGGCAGTCGAAGAATTTTCAGCAACCTTATGAGTAGCGCATTACGAAGGTTGCGTTGTTCTTTCATTAACTCAGAAATAAGAACATCCCAAAAACTTATAGTATTTCGACCAGTTTGTTGGTCTTCGCCTTCCTATTGTGCTTTGGAAATAATTCCAGCTAAGTCATGCTCCCGTTAAACTGATGAGGTCTAATGTACTATGAGAATCCAGTGGTGATACCCTTAAAGCACGATCACTTCTAACCATTCTCCCGAACTCGTAAGCTCCAAGAAAAGGCGACAGCATCAGGATCTTCCATTCAGGAAATCACGCAACTGCCTTGGGAGATCAAAATAACGTCTCTCACTGCATCATTTAGCATGAAATTCCTCCACTTTCCCAAACCACAAGAGCAACTGAGAAAGCCTTCAGATATGAAAGGGAGTGACAGGTTGACGTTGTTCTCCTGTCTGGATTACAGGTAACCAATAAAACTGCAAAACAAATAGTTGTGAACACGGGGGAAGTAAAGCAATGGTAAGCAACCTGGAAAAACTCTACAACGAAAAAACAAAACTTAAAGAGGTGCCAAATGATGGTGCATCACTGACTCAATATAATCAGTTCATATTCATCACAATGCACACACAGGAGAATAAGTTTTCCACACAACTGTGGAGCGAAAGAATTCAGTAATGACCAGCCAGTTGCAATGCATCAAACGAAGTGCGTCAGATCACTTAAGAATTTTCAGTATGAGATTTGGTTCCGCCGTACTATTTTGATAACTGAAATGACACTTGACAAGTTTTCACTGATTTCACGACATCTTCAGCAGTTTGTGACAGGGAGCTTCGGAAAAAATCGTATTACGTCAGTCTCTATTCTTGTCCAAACCTAAAGACTAAACATTTCCTAGTAGGAAAACAGTTTTAGCTGCTTCACCAAAACATATATCGGAGTAATGCGCCAACCATTGTTTCTGATCTGTTTATATTTGGACAGACAGAGCACACACCTTCAGTACCAGCCGAAGAGATATTTTCCTCGGAAGCGTTCAACCATGAAGGGAACAAATAACTAGCGCCACCTTTTTAAAAAATTTTCCAAAGCTTATGGTTAGGGAAGACGAACAGATAGAGCCTTCAGTGGTTTGTTCGAAATAAAACATACTGTCAGTGACGAGCTTATCCAGCGTTCTAACATCAACCGCAGTTGATGGTGGGTAATGTTACTGTGTGTGAAGTACTATAAACACAAACTGTCGACTGCGCTAAATTCCGTTCACGGAGTTTGAGCTTCAACAGAATGCAAACTTCCTAACTTAGAAATAGTCCAGAGTCTACGCGCAAGCATAGACTTTCACGACATCCGATGCTTAGGTGTTTTTTTGGTGTTACGAAGAAACAGGGTTTCTTGTTGGAGTACATCCATCTTAAGTTTGTACATCTGGATTCAAATGATGCTGAGGCTATCGACTCTGGATCTTGTTGGTTTCTTGTAGTCGAACCCAAACTTTGAGGAAAAGTATATGTTGCTCTCATGAATAATAGCGATCACTGAACTGGGTTCGAATGTAGAAGTGGTTGTTCTCTAGATAAGGGAGGGATCTTCGCAGTTCGAATATAAAAGCATGTGAGTTACTCTCATCGCCTTCGCTTGGGACACACCAAGTCGATGTTACCATCTTAGGATACTGTAAAGCCCATGCATGTCTGACATACGTAGCACTGAACAACGGCAATCACTGCATGAGGTACACTTCCTTAACCAAACCACAAGCACTATCACATACATGTTCGATGGCTTCCATTAGGGTAGATATCAAGAGAGGTTCACCGCCACTGCCATTTTCAGGCATAATACCTTGTTCTTTAAAACTCAATCCTTTCTCATTCTAACTTCGTACATATATGCAGTCACCAGACCGCGGTTTTACCGCAAGTATCTCAATTCCGAAGTATCCCATTTTCTGCATTGGAAACCATTTTTGGACCGAGTAATTTCATTCAGCCCTTTGGAAATACGTACCATTATGCCACTTTTTAGGGGGGGAGCATCACTTTGGTCTATTGGGTAAGAAGGCACCTACGATTCAGACCGTGAAACACTGAACGCAAAATTGCTTTGGAGATACTTAACTTGACTTTGCGATACATCGGGTAATTCAACTCGGGGCAGCGTTAGACTGTCTAAGTTAAAGCTTTAGTTCGTTCGAATTAGATAGTAAATTTGCTTCGAATATGATTTTTATAGTTTCACTTCTGCTCCTCAGCCAGGAAAGACATCGCTTGGTATGATGTGTTATGCAGGCAAGTAGTGACATCCTCGCAAATCACTTTTCAGACCCTCCTCGAGAGATCTTTGAAAGTAAAATCATCTAGCCTGCATACTTTGGTTCTTACATAAGTTTAAGTTCTTTCTTTGTAACAGAGTGCTAAATAGCTATGCAGCTGTTTGGGGATTCTGGCATTTGCACCATGGCACTTTACCAACTCTCCCTTGGATGATATCCAGCCTTCGTCCAGTCTTTTTCAGTTGGTTTCTACAGGGCGAACCTCAGGGTCGGAACTGCAACCTTAAGGTGCAGTTTGATATGATAGATGGATTGGTATGATACTACGGGTTTGTCCAAACCCTTCTGCATTTTTCCATATGTATGGTCTAATGAGCCAAGCTCAAGCCACCACAGAACTAATATGGAACAACAAGTAAAGCTCAATAATGCCCCGATACAATTATGCACCATGGGACACTGGAACAAAACCTTTTCGGCGGTGGACGATAGTTATCTTGAGGGTGACATTGTAAGAATACACAACTCAGAACCGCTTGCTTTAATCTGGTGAACCACGTGAAAGAGATAGGCGAATGTAGCTGAAGGGGAAATGAGCTTGAGCAGAAGTACCCACACAGTGTTCTACGATATATATATATATATATATACTAACGGCGAGTGCCTGTTCCTATGACTGCTGTAGATCATTTTTTCGTCCTTTTGCAGATTCATATAGCTGTACTTTTGACTGCTCCTGTGCTAATCCTCTCGTATTACAATACTTCTTTTGCCTGCAAGTCTTTTAACTGGAGATGTAAATTACTCACAAGGACTGGCTGAAATATGGCCATCCCTTCTGTTCGACTCAACTTGAATGCATTCTTAAAGGCACTGTGTTAATTCCATAAGTGTCATGTGGTCTGAATCATGAACACAGTCATATCCCAGTGAAAAACTAATGGCAAATGCAAGATAGAGGACTAAAAAGCTGCATTACACAAACATGTAAATCGCGTCTACTTACATCGAAATGGTGTGCCTTTTAACAGCCCAGTAGGGACTGTGACGGAATATTTTGAGTGATCATGGTCGCAATTTCCTTGTGAAATAGGAAGTTTTATCGAGAAAAGACCAGATACAGTGCCTTTCAGACATCGCTTCCAACCCAGTATACTGAACATAATGTTCGAAAATTGCACTACTTGGTCACATGTGCTTCATGACCCTATGATGGTCACTGTTGCTAGTGAGAAATTGTCCAATTAATCCAAGAGCTTCCTTTAGAGAGGGTATACACGCAACTTTTGTCACAGATATCTGAACGTCGTATGAACACCAAAATATTTGACAAAACTTTTTCTTTTTTCAATCCAGACTGTTGCACACAATGACACGAATTCCTGGCCACTACACGACTATCGTCGAATGCCAACTTCCTTAAGTACACAACGTCCATGCAAGTTGACCCGTCTGAGGGGACGCCGCGTGCGAGGAAGCACACGATCTGTGTGGTCTACTCTGTATGCAGGAGCTCGCGCAGCCGCCATGCGAAGAGCTTTGCCATTCTCAAGATCAACACGTGAACAAATGCCTGCTTCCGAAAACGGAATACACTGCATGGACCTCTATAAACCTTCCGATATGAACCTGTTAAACGCAATGGGTTCTGAAGGAAATATCACTGAGTCTCCACTTCCAACGATCAGTACGGACCTGCAAGCAAGACTTCATTCGAACGTGCACGATGCTCTAACAGGACGTAGCAGAGCGGGATACTTTGAAGCAGCCAATCTTCGAGTTCCAACATCTCATTCAGCCTCAAGTAAATCGTCTGTACTCATCGGGAACCCAATTGTCATACTCAATCCGAAAGAACCACGAGAAATATTCATTGGTGGTATTCCATCTGTTCCATTGCCCCTATGGGCTTATAAAAAGTGTCTAACGATGGTCAGAGGGGAACCGCATGAACTAGGCCCTCGGTTATGCCTTCGCCTGCTGCAAAGCCTATTTAGTTTGCACTATCTGGTTACGCACAACTATAACGGATCTGGAGGGAAGGCACCTATTGATCCAATTGTGATGGGCGCTGTTCTCCGACAAGCACAGATTCAGTTCGGATCAGGATACTTCTTTACCGAACCAATGGCACTAGGAAAACTTCGCGATTATTTGAACAACGCGTTCCGAGTGATGGCTTTCAGACAACGCAAAGGAGAGCGCGTTCGTTCACCCTTCTGGAACGAACAGGGCGAACCGGTTCATGGATTGGAAGCGCCAGTGGAGTTTGCTGAGACATCGGATGTGATTGTATTGACCAATGAATTCTCTCCAGACTTAGTAAGACCGAATGAGACGAGTGGATCTACTAGCACACCAAACGACGTTGAATTCGAAGAACAAAACACCTGAATAACTGTTTCCCTTGGATTTTGCAATCAAAAACAAAATAAGTCATGAAATCCATAATCCCCGCACTGGAACATGTGAAACGGGTTTGTATAACCAGAATGTTATTTATATTTTGCGAAGACATGTAAAATACATTACAGTCCATCTGAAGTAGCAACTTTCGGATAATCACGAGCAGCAGGATTTATTTCAGCACAAATAAATATCCCGTCATTCATAGCCACAAGGGGAGCTTCATTCAAATATCATCAGAATGTAACTTTAGTCTATAATTAGGGTCGAGAGTACTGCAAACTCCGAGAAGTCAACATTATTTCGACATCAAGTGGTCACAAGTGGGACCAACCTCTGCGATAGCATCGACAACAACTTCGTTTTCCGAGTTTGAAGAGAGAGGGTCGGTAGGCAGTTAATGCGATGCAGATGCGGTATTTTCTGACAACAGAAAATGGCGTCAGCAAAAGGCGGAACCGTTCAATTCCCAGAAACGTGTGCGAGCACATGACATAAGTGGGACATGTGTGTTGCACTCACTTCAAGCTGTGGGGATATTCATCAAGCCAAAGAAGCTGTAAGTATGCCTAGTCCTTTATAAGATTGGTATTATACAGGTTTAGCGAAGTGCAGTCAAGAGATTTTTGCATCCATGTGCAAATCTGCTCAAAATTTTCGATTTTATTTTCATCTCATAGGAACACAGGACTCCAAAGTAGCTGCCGCTACTACTGGTACCACGAAGCTTAGTTACAGATGTGGGTTACATGGAAGACCTAGTTTGCATTAACACTACTTTTACCCTTTAAGACAGCTGAAAATCGCATGCAGTGGTGAATTATTGTTGCGGACCACAGATCAATTGCGATGGAGCAAGAAAATGGTTCCGCCCATATTTGGAAACAAAGTAGAATCTGAAATACGTTGTCGATTACGGGATCAGAAATTGAAACTGGCGAATCCTGTTACTCTCAAAAACACCATTAAGTTTGTGGGATGAAAACTCCAGTTTCACGAAGGTTTGACACAACACCGAGTTGGAATTGCGGGCGACCGTGAATGTGCCTTTGCGGTGAAACCCACTAGAAACGGACAGCAAGCGGAATAACCGAAATCCCCGTTTATAATTAATCTACTGTCTAAAGCCCACCAAACAGTAATAAGCACAACCATATGAGAAATTAATGGACTTCTCGAGTGGTCGAACAGAAGTTTTCTGGTCTTCGCGAGTATCTCATTCGTTTCTCGTCACTACACTTCATCGCAGTGTGGTGGCATTGAGTCTTATGACACGGCTATTCGTGGGTGTGGAATCGATTTAGTACATCATTAAGACCACCACTGATATAAACTCAGATATACTAGTGCTTAAGTGCGATGCAGTCGTGAGGGAAGAAAGCAATACCAAAGCAGGCAGTTCAAAGTATTGTATCCCTGAATAAAACGATCGACAATAAGGCGGACACTATTAAAATAAACGTTCACGAGTACGTTGGATAAGGGCGTTGTCAGCAGAACTGACCCAGCATCCTCTGCGAATCCCACTCGACATACGATCACGGCACTAGGACAGGCGAACATTAGCTAGGCATTCCGGCTAGGGAATTACGCCATGAGCACCACTGAGATCGAATGCGTGCCACACCCAGCAAAGTTCCCAAACATATGCAAGCAAGAACACGAGTTCCAGTTAGGAATACGTAAGCGTTCCACAACACTGACAGTAATCGCCTTCATCGCTTGGAACAAAAGCATGCTTTCTTAATTGGACTGTAGTTCACGTTCCAAACACTTTAACCTGATAAGCTTAATCCGCTGCTAAAACGATACTGCTTGCTTACCAAGTGCCCTCTTACGCATTACTTGGTGCGTACTCGCTGCGACCAGCTAACTCCTGCTAAGCTACGGAAGCATTAGGGATCAAATTTTGTAGACGTGCAAGGCGCACGAATCAGAAGGGGCAAGCCTAATTATAGAGTTAGATCGCTTTTACGGCTTCTCTGTGTATGCAGAGTGAGATTCATCGAAGTCCACTTCTAACGCCACAAATGGTGTTGGTCGGTGGACGCTGCACGAACGTTGACTCCATCTGTAATAGTACAATCACTGCTAATGCAGTTGCTAACATATGTGAAGCAACCAACAAAACCAAGATCGTCATTCTGAAGCTTCAGAGGTAAAAGAGGATAGGGATTACACTTTACACAGGGGAACCACCCGTGGCTCCTACCGGGAACACTATTTTCGAAAGCAGATGACTCATTTCCATTTTGTTTATCCAATCAGGTAGCAGTACAATGAAAAACGATAGTGCATATATTTTGTCTGAATAGCACCTTTATTTCCTCAGCACTAGATGTTATAGTTGAAGAGGAATTGAAGCTGTTGCACCTCCCAGTAAATATCCACGCAAAGTACTTTACAGGGCTCTGGTAAGTGATGGTCAATAAACGTTGCCTTGAGCGTTCAGGTTCACACCGAAAGACATTTCAGTATCATAGCAGACAACACGGGTAACGTTAACGATTGGACTAGATACTCTCAACAGCGCGCGGCGGTTCGTTATCCCTCTACTAATTCTGGTAGCGATACGAGCGACTCAGGCCCATCATGGAACAGAACCGACCAGGACACACGTGAGTGTGACGCTAAAATGATTCTGGTTTAGGTAAAACTACACAGATAAGCGCTAAAAAGTCGGGGTCCCACGACTTGTCATAATGGGAATTGGAAGATTTATTTATGTAGGCCGCTAAGCCGGTCAACATCTGGAGGTAAGAAGTCCCACAAAAAGGAGAACTGACCGGAAATTCAGCAGTCGACCGCTAGAAACGACCATAACGCGACCCAACAATGGTCTACTGCTGATACCGAGTAGTTTGTTTTATAAGAGAAGTAGTCCAGCGCGGGTCCACGAAACCTCCTCCATAGACTTGCCGTCGCGAATAGACAGCAAAGACCGGAAAAAACTACAGTACGAACTGTTATGTAGGATGCTTGGATCCGGCGACTATATCCCTAATCCGTAATTTTTGAGTTCCGCAATTTTCATTCTGGTCAAGATAAAATCTAACGTGACGTTTGAAGTAGACAGGTAACGCCTCCTGAGGGGCTGGATCGTCAACTTCTTGTACACTACAGCAAAGTGTTGGAATTAAGCGGACTAGTCCGACGGTCTTGATCTTTGCCTCCAACTTAAAATTTGATCTCTCCCTAACAACTGACTATCAGCCTGCAGGAGTACAGATATATACAGATATACACAATAAAAGCATATGAAGAATAATGACAGGTGCATCAGGCATCGACAATCCGTCTGCAGCCAAGCGGTGCACTCAGAGTACATCAAAATGTATAGGTAACTGGAAGGAATCCGGGCTCGCAAGAACCAACGCGCTAGAGAGCCCAATTAATATGCAGAAAGGAGGAAATTCAAACACATCAGTAAGGAGGTTTATAGTCTACTTCACAAGCAGCCGCATTCCAGTAAAGTGAAAAGCAGTTGCCTGCTGCAAGAACAGTAATCGCAACAGCGGATAGATAATTACTGCCAAATAATTTGGTGACTCGCCCCATATATTGTGCGATTAACTCAGTTCGGTTTATCCCGTGAACATGCGGACCTTTACATAAGTCATGAAACTGAGCTTTCCCAAATCGATAAAGGACAACTGACAGAAAAGACTCAGTTCTTTTTGCAAAATCATCCCAAAAGTAAGACGAACAATGATTCTGAACCTGTATTTTCATCTTGGAAAATTGACCGTTCAGCTGTAGCACCCTTCCGGTGCCTAGCTGCCATGCCACCCGAAGGTTGCACGAGGGCTGGGATACTGCCGGGTTGCCCAAGCCTAGACAGGGGAAGTCAAGAGGCAGAGATCGGGTTCGAACCACGGACCTCCCGGTCAGTAAATTCGCGCTCCAACCACTTCGTCCAACTCGCCCCCATCTTGGAGAAGGTACTTCTGAATCCTTTGGATCATTAATCGTTTATCCAAAGACTGGTGTACACCGGGTTAGGTGACGTCTACTGCGTTATACACATTATGTACGTATAAGTTTATCGCCGTGTTGGCGAGCGACAAGGTAAATGAAGATCGGAAAGCAATTAAGTTTGTGGGGTACACAGGACCGACAATTTTAAACGAAAATCAGACAGTTCAAGAATCCTTTTCCCGTCTAGATTGGCTTCATTTACAGGATGAAATCCAGACCTGAATCACATTCTAGCATCAATATGCTGTTCACCCCCATGTTTTAGGTAACTCTTTCTCGTAATTCATTCGTTGCAATGTATAAGCATCAAACACCTGGTCATACATGATGAACTTCGAACGAACGGCGCTGGTTTCAGTTCTAGTGGTCGGAAACGTCCGGAGAATTCCGGAAAAGTCTAGGAAGACGAAAGCCTTCCATTTGGAGCAATATACGACCGAAGCCGTCTGTGTGCGCGCCTAGGGTACCCTTGGGTGCGACGACCCCCGAAAACCAGATAAAAAGGACAGGTGATGGGTAAGCATGTACAAGAGGTAATCACAAGTTGTTCAAGTGAATCGAATCTTCAGTGCATCCGTTATCCATACATCGGCTGTGCATACCTAGAAAGCAGAAAATAAAGACAGTGTTGAGTTGTGCTGGATAAAGAACGCAGCTGATAAAACTGTAACAGAGGAGCGCTCACCCAAACACCCATTTTACTAGTTATCAGGTGCACCATCACCTACGACGTGGTACCGTTTCGGGAAGCTACCTAAGCCTACGTTCTCCGTTATTAGTGTCATAGACAACATCAACCGAAAACAGGGGTTTCGTAACCAGTGAGAAAAACAAAAGAGTGGGAGGGAAATAGGAATCTAATACCAACCTATCAAAAGCAGTTCAACATGCCTAGCACACTGAGGACTTAAGTAAGCAGCCTAGATGGAAACACCACATAAACCGACTGATAGCTCTGTCTTTCGGTGAATTCAGCCAAGCAAACGGAAGATAACTGAATGTGCGCTGAGGGTATCGCCTCGATTGACTGCATAACGTTTGCAAGCCAATTACCAAGCTCAGTGAATAGATCAACAGCTACCTGATCTACCACCACTAAAGGAAGGGTCACGCAAATACAATCATTGAAGACACTCAGGATTGTCGTTTTGTTTACAAGTTTATTGCACTCCACTTCCGAGTAATGTGAGTTTGTTCAGCTTCTCAATGAGAATAAGTGCTGCACAACCGCTTTCTTAGCAGTCATTTTCGACTGTAGTGTTAACCTGAAAACGGAGCCACTTACTTAGCGGGCAAATTGAGTGGAACCAGACAAACTGCTGCCTCGACAGGTCTGCGTGGTTCCCATTTACCAAGCCGGTGTTCCTGACCCAAAGCAACAGCTAGGAAGCGACGATCCGCACTGAATGCCAGCGAGTTTACGAAGCCACTCTGGAAAAAGAAAATTAGAAAGGAGGGCACCAGTTGAACTAAGAGGACAATAAGGGGGTTTTCAAAGGAATAGCTTACGTGGACTAGGGAGTGTAGTTTGACGAGAAAATGATGCACCAGGGGGCTGATTAAACAAAGAATATACACATGCATGGATGGCCTCGGGTGTTCAGCCCCTATACCAACCTACGGGGCCTATCGAACTCACTAGCTAGCTAGCACCTGACACCACCCAATGATACACAACCCAAAGAGACGCGTGTTAATTTCCACAAAATTCGCTTTCAGATCAACAGCTTGGATGTCAGAAACTTGCTTTCAACGAACCCATAAATTGTACTTCTTTCCACATTTAAGCGCGATCAGAAACTGTTTTGGCCATCCGCAGCTGGAAGAAGATAGAAAGCATAACTCGTCCGAGAACTTCCTCAGAAGCGCTTTTGAGGCCATAGGCTCACGAGGACAGAAGCTGGGAAGGGAGTCATGGACCCCCACCCGGAGCTGACACCTGAGTATCGTGTTAAGCGGCGACATGTAATGGTGATTGACACTGAAGAAACGAATCACTGCATTAGAAAACTCCGACCAGGATTTTCTAGTGAAGAGGAGGAAGCTGCAAACGTCCTCGTCAGAATTGACTTCATATATAAATGAACCAACTCTGAATTGCAATTTCATGTGTTAATGGGATCCCAGGTCGTTTCTTAGAGATGATCACTCATCGGTTGGCTACATGGAGAGGTGCCGGTATATTGGTAAACGTCTTCTATCGGAGTCCGCAAAACCGCAGCACCAGTTGGATTGGGTGAATCCGCTGACAATCCCAGTTACACCATAATTGCGGACTTCAAAGTGCCTAATATGAACTGGAGTAAACCATCGGATAGTTAAGCCATCAGTAACACACGGGTTCTGTTATTCCTCGTGGCATAAAAGTGCCGAGTTGTTCAGAATACTCGCCAACTCTCTGGATGCCTACTTGGGTGACAAGCATCACGCGTTAAGGTGTTATCAACTGAGGCTGATGACAACCTGCGTCTAGCTAGAAACATCAGGAGAGTGGGTGCCTTGATACCCAATGTTTGGCGCACAAAACTTCCGAGGTTGATCAGCGCGATGGAATAAGTTTAATGGGATGTGCCAAGCGAAGCTCTCGGTGCAGTTTGGGTCATTTCCAGCCACACGTTCAAACTCTGCAAAAGATTTGTGCTGAAGACAAAGGCAGCAGCCACGATTTGAACGCGCCTTGGATGTAAAGAGAAATGGAAACATGTCTACGAGTGAGACATCGAGCGTGTCATATTTGTCAAAAGGATGGTACGTCAGGTGACTGTGAAAGACAGCGGAAAACTCATAAACAGTGCAAACTGAAGAAAACTAAGCGACGTGCTTATGAACCTCGCTTAGTCGAACACACCAAGGAACAGCCTAATAGGATGTGCTCTAAAACCAGTCGGGGACTATGGAAAGCCGATTATCTTCACTGAGGGAGAAGCTGAGTCACGTTATGGAAGACAAGTTAGACCGAGAAAAATTCCTTGCTATGTTGCTTCGGATATCTGGCGCCAGAGTCACTCATCTAATGAGCAGACGCTGACGGGCGCAACTGCACGGTGTCCGGACCTACTCAGACTCTGTAATACCTGCACAAACGGAAGGCCCGTGGGCCTTCTGTTTTGTCCGCTGATACTGTACCACCAGGTAACCACTTTGACCCTAGTCCTTGCCGCTGTTTTCAAATGGGTAATGTGAATGGGCTTTCCATCAGAGTGGAAGGAAACCACTATGTAACCGTTCTACCACAGTCATCGTACGTGTGCAAGGTTTGAGAAACTGGACGGATTTGATACGACGAAATTACCTGTGTAAACTACTGCCCAGATCCCTAATGAATTGATAACAAATCGGAGAAACCAAGTAAAACTAAACGATAGAGGCCAGCTCAAACACCCTCGCGCGAAGTCAATCCAAACCTATGTGCACGTTGGTGGTTGACAGCCTTTGAGCATCCTGTTAGCGAATAGCGTATCCTCTCTAGAGCTTTCCGTAAGGCTGAACTTCAAACACATACCAGCGATAAACTGCAACCTGTAAGCCGCTCCAGCTTGACCTGTGTACGTTGCTGCTGTCTTTCTTGATTGTTGTTTGTTTCTACCTGATCTGATGGGCGAACAAATCGCCAAAATTGGATGTGACCGGTGGACGACCCTGAGGCGATCAAGTCTGTACCGGCAAGACCGGTTACGGCGGAAACCCAGTTGGCTATGGGGCGGCGGAACTCAGATTGGCCAGGTAACGGATCCAGTAGTTTCGGCTCCGGATGTGCCGGTGATATAGAGGACACCGGACTTCCTCGGCTCGCGTGCCAAATGTATAAGTGACTGAAAATAAAACAGTGGGGAAATATCCAGTGGTGCTAGGGGCCAAAGCGAATGACACATCGTGACGCAATTTGTGTGAAGAGCAAAGTCAAGTTAACTTTAATTATATTTATGAGCAAGCACCATATTTACCATTGTAGACTGTCTTGCTACATAAATTATTCTAGCAAATTTTGACTGCTTTTGAAAACCAACAGATAAGAAGCGCACTATTTTCAACGAATGTAGAGGCTAGGATACATATGGTTGTTTGGTCGATCCATACGGCTTCTGCAGTGGTATTCACTGACTGCTAAGTCACTTTTAGATCCATCAATTCATAACAGAGTACGCAAAATATTTAGAAAAGACTGACAGGGAATTCGTAGGGCTATTGTTGTACGCTAAGTGTTGCACTGAAAAACAAAAGACAGCTACTCGAAAATGGTTGACTACGAATGCTCAGACAGTTTCAACCGTTCGGGGCGCAAACATGGAGACAAATGGCATTGACCGAAATGGGCTATGTTCAGATGAATACGGTGAGTGATCGGTAACGGATCAGGAAAGAAGTGAGCACTTTATCGATTCCGCATAGGATCAATGGGATTGTGGCACACCTCCAACAAACGAGAGCTAACATCGCAGAGACCAGGAGAAAACCTCTGTGATGGTAGCAGCCTTTAGACAGAATTAAATTGGGGCTTACTAAGAAGAAATGATTAGGTTTCTTCGCACTTATGATCTGCTGCACGCAACCGATGTCACTTGCTCTAGGTTACTGTACGCAAAGAGAGGGCATCCAGGGGACGAGGATATGAAAGCTGTCAACGGATTGAGGTGCATCTCTGTTCATTTGAGAGCAATTCGGGGCATAGACTCTTCCTTATAATTCCGGCGACATGAGTCAACAGAAAACTGCACCGTACTCCCTCATTTTAATAATGTCATGCACCTGTGGTTTTAGTAATAACCAAGCTGAAGGTACATCACTGTCACTTGCTTGTTGTCATGCCACTCCGACCTTTTTGTTCGTAGGGAGAAGCGACTGTTGTATTGATCAACCACAACAAACACTCGAGCAGAATCAAAAGTGAAAGTAAAAGTGTTGGACCAGTGACCAAGCTTATTTTCACTTCGAACTTCCTAACGCGACACTACTTGTCTAGAATACATTTGAAAACGTTGAGCAAATATGTGAATGTGAGCAGCGGGGATCGAAAGTCATTATGAATGCCGTAAAAATAAGTACGTACCAGATATGAACAGACAGGAATCTAAAACAAGACCTTAAAACTAATTCAGCGGACGTCTTGGCGTGCGTCCCGCATGATAATTTCAGTTATGTCTCAGAGGAACACAAAGGGTGAGACTAAACAGTTTCGCTTTCAAATGATTAGTCTGGGTAGCTGCTTGTGCCACTCCGATACATCCAAAAATGAAAATACGCTAAACCAGGCAAGAGTACGTTGCATTCCTTGCAAGATGAGTAAGTCTGGCAGAATACCTCAGAGTTACTGGACAGATTGTCTTTTTCTTGGATGTATCTACCATTCCTCACCACAAAATGACTATTGAACCGGGAAGCAACTTCTCCGAGGAAAATCTCCCAGATAGGGTCAGCTGTGTGCACTGAACAACATTTCGGAGGAATAGAGCCCCCTCAAAATATCATTAGCTAACCACTACCTTCCAGTGTAACTACTACTACTGTTACTACTCCTGCTTACTTTGTTGCCGATCCGCCAATGAAAACGTCGTCAGTTACAGCGTAGACGCATTCAATCGCGGTCCTGTATGAAACAAATTGCAGGAAAATAAAGGATAAATTCAAAACACACGGTAAAAGATCGGGTGGCAAATACTGCTGATGCTGCAGCCGCAGTACTAGAAAGACAAACAGGTGGAAAAGCAACACTTGAGGCAAATACACCCTGACAAATAGACCGGCAGAGTTATCGACTCGTCAGTGTTGTAGGACTGAATACGTTTTGTTTGCCAATCGTTATGTAAAGAACATCCCCTTCGTCTCTTCAGGACCTGGCTTTGAACTGGGCAATTCCGAATAAACAGTTTTCTGCAGCCATGATGACGCAAACCAGTAAGAACCCAACATTGTGTGTGGCGGGGAGGATACAGTCAAATATAGTAATAATGATAGTAAAAATAATTATTTTTCAGCTGCAACACCCATTCGGTGTCTAGATGCTATGAAACCCGAAAGAAGCGGGCAAATAGTGCACTACAATATGTATCTTATCCTCCCAAAGTACCCTTGAGTGACGTTGATCAATTTTGCTACTGCTCCGTCCTGTCCTGCATTTTTGGCAAATTGGTTCTTTTGCTTGTAATTTTCCATTAGATCAACAACAACTTATTCCGCAGGTGTTCAGCTTTTGGTCCTCGTTGACTCAAAATAAAACTATGTGGAAAAGAATACACTTCATAACGTATGGAAGTTTTGCGCCCAGTGGTATGTCAGGCCCAAAGTGGGGCTGTTGTTACTTGATGCGGTTACTGTCTGCATGTAGTTGAGCCAAACGCACGTATGACACCATGCTACGTTGCCAACACTACTATGGGAATGCCAAGTACCACCCGACCTTTTGTTCGGAATCGCTCCTGCGAACCCTGCGCAGCCAAGCGTGGTCTACAAAGCTGAAAAATGATGGACCATCGGCAAGAGAGGTCAGAATATTATTCGGACCAGAGCATGATCTCATCAAATCAGCCCTTAGTCTTGGTTAAGGGGACAGTTATTTAGCAGGAAAATATACCTGTATTGTGGAGTGATGACTTGCAAGCACTGAAGCGCCCAGTGGGGGCTAGCACGATGTCCTGATCGGAAAATACATCGAGTGATCGGCACTCATAGTGACCTCGACAGCTGTGGGGAGTAGTTTTATGGCAGCAGTCGAAACAGCGGTATCGGATCTTTTCTACTGTTTGACATTAAAATACCAACCTAGCATGGCTGTTCCCTTACGAGCAGCCTACGACACTTGCTGTGTAGACAGTCAATGGTGATGTTTGTTATAACGTAGTGTGATAGAAAACATATTTGGGCCCTCACAAGCATTTGGAAAGTGATAGGTTACTCGTCATTTACAGAAGCCTCAAAAAACATCAGTCTACACAACACTGCGTTATTTGTCCCTAGAATCAAGTCACAGTACCGCAGCACCGTCACCTCTAACATTATATGTGCGCATTATTTTCAAACACCAGAAGTGCGTGCCCTCAACTTCCCCTGATTGACCAATCGGCACAACAGTGCTAGTCTGTTACCACGGAATTTGGTAAAATCGGAGCCAGAGAACTGGGTCAGTCTGATACCCACTTACTCGATGGGGTTTTTTGTGGTATACTGGACACATACTTCTTCCGCTACCTTCCAAACACAGACCCCGGGACCACCGAAGCCTGAACAAGAAACACATCTCTCAGTTGATAGGCCGCAGAGGCCTAAAACTTCAATGTTGGTCCGCGCACTGAAGAGGAAAAGTTTATACGGTAGATCAGATTTTGCAACCGGCAAGTACAGAAATATATGTGAAGAGCATTTATGCAAAAGGAAGGTTACCAGATAAAAGAATTTTCTATCTGTGAAGTCAGTTACGGATGTATAAACTTCTAAATAAACTGATCGAACTAGGAAGATGTGCAGAAATGTTGGATGTATAAACCCGAAGCGATGGGAGGTGAGGTGAAGTCTGCTAGTGAAGTTTATATTGGCCACGGCGTTAATCATCATCTCGCACGGGGCGAGATGGACCAAGTGATTAGAGCGCGAATTTACTGACTGGAAGGTCCGTGGTTTGAACCACACCTCTGCCTCTCGACTTCCCCTGTCTAGGCTTGGACAACCTGACAGTATCTCAGCCCTCGTGCCTCCTTCGTGTGGCATGGCACCTAGGCACCGAAAGGGTGCTACAACCGAACGATTTTTTATACGCACTATTCACGGTTTAGTGGACCATAAGGGAGTGATATTCAGTCGTTCAGCTGTAACACACTTTCCGCGACTGGCTGCCATGACACCAGAACGAAGCACAAGAACTGAGATACTGCTAGGCAGCCCAAACCCAGACAAGAGCAGTCGAGAAGTTGGGGTAGTGTTCGAACCAGAGACCATCGAGTCAGTAGATTCGCCCTTTTACCACTTAGTTGTCTCGAACCTCAAGGAAACGTATACAGTGAAACCGAGCTGCAGTGGGAAATGGGCCATTTAGGTAGCTGTCACCAAGGTTATGTCGAGCAAGTCAGTGCGCTGAGGAAGTAACATAACACAATAGTCAACAAGAATTCAAGTAAACAGGTGTGGGAATGTTCGCCAACACGCAACCTGATAGAGTAGACTTTGCTGATCCAAGGCTTGCATCCAGTAACATCAGGAAAGCACCTAACGCTTACTATGACTGACCAATGGTGCGAACCCTTTGTGGGGGCGACTCCTACCTACGGCCAATTGTGATCGTTATTCATTGAACTGTGGCAACAAGTTTATAACAACGGGTAAAAAATGCAGGTTGATACAGGCAAACCCACTTGTCTCAACTCACCCCTGATCTTGTAGTACTTCAGTGAGAGGCATATTCCAGACACAAACGCGTCCGGAACAATCCGCCGTGAACAACATGTGAGAGTTACGTCTGAAAGAAACAGACTGTAGACGTGTTCGAAATAACAGTGAAAGCTACTTACTGTAACAGCGGCTCGGTGTCTCTTCAGCTTAGTTCGGACTGTCATTTGTTCGGGGTCCCAAACAATCACAGTCTCGTCCATACTGGAGGTAGCCTGAAAGTGCATGGATGCGGAAAAGTCGAGAAAGGGATTTCAACTAATGACGGATGAGAACTTGTGAAGGGAAACCTTCATAGAACTAAAAAGGGATGCTGCAGGATTCGGTCAGCTAAGTCCTACATGCAAAAAAGTGTGTTTTTCATCGCGTTGATCAAACTCGGCGACTCAGCATGAAGAAGCCAGCCTTGGACACTCTGAAAAGTGGTGCCATGAGGATGCAGCGCTTGATTTCGATTAGCTATATATGTATGGTTTACCGGACAAGCATCTCGCTGTGCTCACCACATTATGGGAACATATGTATGCTAGAGTTATACCAGTTATCGACAACAATAGACCAGCGAAAAATGCTGTTGTTTAACTGATGTTGAAAACGTAACTCTCTACGGCGCGGTGTGAAGTCCTCTTTGAAGGGACATGTAGATAAAAGACATGCTGGGACCAACCTCTGTGGACGGTAAATACGTCTGATGCGCGTAAATAAAATGAGTAACCGAATTACAGCTTTAAAATTAGGGATACTGTCTAGTCTATGTTGGCTTACAGTACACTAAATTAAATGTATAAATGCGCGAACTTCCAACTTAAAATATGTATGTGCAAACAGCTCATACGATTGTGTGCGCTAGATGACCAAAGTCCGTTGTGGTTAAAGCATGTTCTGCCTACGAGGAATATCGCCGTAGCGTTGTCATTGGACCGAAAACTAGCAAAGCATATCGAATAGGTTCAAGTAAGCAACGCTGTCGATCTGCTTATGTGCTCAATCTTCAAGATCAAAGCACGTATATATGAAAGGAGTATATGGTCATGGTAACCCAGCGAGATGCATAAGGGAAGTTTACGAGCTGTAGTGAAATCACATGGAAAGTCTACTACCTGGTGAAATGGAACACAAGTGAAAAGATTAAGCATCAGCAGAATATTTAATCTTAGTACAAAACGATATATAGTTCCGATTGCTTAGATAGTGTAAGGGGTTTCTGACACGATCGGACAAACAGATCCCATGAAATGGACTGGAAATACCCCCTTACCACGCCTCTGGCTAAGCGGAATGCATCTTTGTTTTTGAAGCCCACATAGATGTGTTTAGATCCAATGGTTTTTGATTGGTTATGTATGGTTGGAATCATACAGCAAAGCTCGCTAAAATTTCCTATCTGTTCGTTGATATCAAGATCGTTGTTCTTTCAAAATTACGGAAGAAGTGACTTGATTTTATCTGCATATGCAATCTCCCGCAAAATATATCTCATTCCCTGTATAGCCCGACAAGTGAGATCTTCCGTCTGATCTGGTTGTTTGAAAACATCGCCTACTAGCAATGAGGCGAGCCAAATTGAGCATTCCAACATGTAGTGCGTCCAAAGCCTCGGTTCTACATGTCGTGCATCAGGCCACTTGAAGCTGCTGTGTAACACACATTGACGGAAGAGACCGAACTTGGGTAAAGATGTTTGAAAGTAGGTGTCTGGCTGCTAGAGATAGTTGACTGATCAGTCGATCAAATCAAGGCAAGGGCGAGCTTAGAAACACGCGTAATTGCAAAGCATATCCAAGTCACTCGTTCCCAGAATGACTTTACTTTTATTTCGAAATGCTAGTTTTAAAGTGCTAGCTTTGAGGAAGAACATATTAACTTATTACTGTCGAGAGAGTTCATGCGTCATGAGCTTGTCTGGACGACGAAATAATCGTCTAAGTTAGCATACCTCGAACAAACCTCTCCCTAAAATACGAGCGACGAGGAGGCAACCTTCACTCTACAGCTCTTGATTCCCCGCAACCCCCCTCAATTATGCAGATCATGACTATATCAGATCGAAAACCGCTCAAATGTCTTGTCTATTCTCTCTAACTTCCAGGTTTTAGCAGCCGGAACCAAAGTGTCCTTGGCAAATGGCTTACAGTTGATCAACAAAACAACCCGGCTGGTTTCAGTCGTTCAGTGGGTAAACTATAAAAATTCAACCGCCAAAGCGAAGCAGTCACCCAATGAATCATCGAAAAGTTCGAGTAATACTTCAGTGAAAATAGTTTTCAATCCTTCCCCGGTTTGGAATATATGATATAAGGAAATGGTTTGTGTAAATCAGTCTTACACGTGAGAAAACAGTCAACGCAACCAACATAACTGTGCTCGGAATAACTAACTGCCTAAAATGCACATTTAACCAGCAGACGCGTTGTGCGTTGTGTTCGGTAGTGCTGACGATCCTGTCAGCTTTAGTGGTCTGCAAAGAATTCTGGCTATTAGACATGCGCTGTAGTGGCATAATGCTGAAAAAGTCATTAAGGACAAGTACCAGAGTACTGTTAGCAAAAGATATTCGCAAAGATGCAAAGTAACAAATCATGCGACAATTTTTTTTAAAATCTGCTTACGAGATATTTGCTGTCGCTTGAGATGGCAATTGAAAGTATAGGACCAGTGTGATAAGCGTATGATGCACCGCGCTTTCCACCTCGAATGACAGCTGTCTTCTGATATGTATCTAGATTCCCTTGTAAAATCGAGGGAAGAATGAGCAAAGCGCCAAAATATACATTTCATAACGTTTGAATCTTTCCCGCCTGTGAAGGCGTATTTCCCATCATCCGAAATACAGACGCACGAAACTGCTCTTTTGTGACCCAAAAGGAATATTATCCGCTCGGGATCTGGTGGTGATAGCTAATCAGAAATTAAAATGTACTTCAGGAGTTTACCAACCTTATGGGCTAAAGTAACAAGTAACCGTCCTTTCTCGAGCAAAGCCTCCTCTCTCAATCGGAGTGAGAAGGCGCTGAGCTCCTCTTCATCAGAACCAACTAAAAACAAAGGAGGAATAACAAAGAATGCCAGCTTACTTTGTTCACGGGCTTTTTGAATAGCCTTTCTAGTCAGTCGGATGTGTTTTTCATGTGCACTTTCCAATTCATCGGTGACACTATGTTCGGATTCATCTTCAGACCTACATACGCGTGTAAACAAATTAATCGACATACGACATAATCTCATCGCTGTCTGAAGGAATTTCTTCTGTAACATTCTTCTTTTTTTGGGAGTACAAAGTTAGATTGAACAACACCCAACCTGTAGTTTCGATGTCCGTTTGGCCTTCATTGTCGGTATCTATCAAAATATGGTAGTCGACGAATAAAATCCGGTGATGGAAAAGGGCTGCGGACGAAGAGTGGTCGTGCATGAGTGAGGGAGTGGCAGTAATACGAAAAGCAGCCGTTTGTATGCGGGTTCAAGAAGCCGGTAAGATACTTCAAAAACACCAAATTCCAAACATTATATCAAACTAGGAATCTGTGCCAAACTGCACACGGACGACCCGAAGGTTATCCATTGCTCCACTGTCATTGTTTTTATTAGAACTGTGGGGCTCAGTCTACTTATCCTTCCTGAATTCATACTGAAAAAGCAATTATTCTTTTTTAGACAGAGCATCTACTGGACGAATAACAATAAGTCCCTCCTGCGGTGTTTAAAATTGGTTTCGCTTTTGTCCCTTGTGAAATTTCTGGTAGTTTTTTCGTTGGTTTGCCGTCGATTTACCGTGTATTCCCACCCATATATTGCGTTGTTGTAAGAATCGCGCAACATGCCCGGAAGAACCCTTTCCTGGTTAACATGATCCTCACATATTCTCAGCCTATTAAATCTGGTCCACTGACATTTGCCATTAAGCCTGTCGCCCGGAAACTCACTTCTACTTTCCTAGTGCGGCAACTTTGAAAAAAATTTGAGACCGCTAATATGGAGGCTGAATATCGTATCCTACGGGCAAGAATTCCTGATAACTGCAGTAATAACTGAGGCATTCGACCTCTCCGTTTCTCCGATCGGCAAGCATACCCTGCCTCTAGTGGACATTATGCTGCGCGGTGAACATTGGGCACGTAATGCCTCTGGTGGTAAACTGCAATTGGCTGGCGAGGTTGACTGCTCCATAAGCTTCACTAACTCGACGGCACAAGCCACGCGCTACCTGGGGTCATGCCCAAAATTGATCTCATATGGCTGAATTGGATTGACAAGCCGAATCTGCTGGATGAGCCAATTAACTCTATTTACAACCTCATGCACGCAGTACCCGGAGGTGTCCTTGAACTCATTCTGCGAAGCGTTCACTCGGGGTCTTCCTACAACACCATGCATCTATATTCGCCGACGAGCTTAGACGGCTCACAAAAGCAAGAACCAGGAACTGGGCCCCCTACAGAAGGCTGGTGTTCTCCAACAGAATAGCTACTCTGCATGAGCCGCACCGATCGCGTTGATAAAGCTAACGTGACCATCCGGTTGTGTTCAGGCTTCACCACCGGTTTCAATGCTGCATTGACTACCCACCAGTACCATCTGCCTCGTCCCAACGACTTGTTCGTGAAAGTGAACAGGAGTAGTGTTTCGCGAAGATTGCCTCGGCCGATGCTTGCCTCCAGGTTTAAGTCGAGGAATGTCAAAATCCTGGCCCAACTATTCGTGAACAATGTTCCTTGTTCAATATTCGTTATCAGTGTCTCAAGATTACCAAAAGGGATACTGAGGATTTCATCACCCATGCCGGTGTAGTCAACAGAGAATGCGAGCGCTTTCAGCTCAGCTCCATGGCCGAGAATCAGTTCAAGTGTCTTATCTTCGTGGCTGGTCTTCAATCGCCACATGATGCAGATATTCGGACCCGGCTACTCAACAGAAGTGAACAAAATCCAGAGTTGACGCTTCAGAAACTTACCACCAAATGCCAGCGTCCAATCAATCTCAAGGCTGATGCTGCTATCATTGGACATTCTGGAGAGGCATATTCCAGACACAAACGCGTCCGGAACAATCCGCCGTGAACAACATGTGAGAGTTACGTCTGAAAGAAACAGACTGTAGACGTGTTCGAAATAACAGTGAAAGCTACTTACTGTAACAGCGGCTCGGTGTCTCTTCAGCTTAGTTCGGACTGTCATTTGTTCGGGGTCCCAAACAATCACAGTCTCGTCCATACTGGAGGTAGCCTGAAAGTGCATGGATGCGGAAAAGTCGAGAAAGGGATTTCAACTAATGACGGATGAGAACTTGTGAAGGGAAACCTTCATAGAACTAAAAAGGGATGCTGCAGGATTCGGTCAGCTAAGTCCTACATGCAAAAAAGTGTGTTTTTCATCGCGTTGATCAAACTCGGCGACTCAGCATGAAGAAGCCAGCCTTGGACACTCTGAAAAGTGGTGCCATGAGGATGCAGCGCTTGATTTCGATTAGCTATATATGTATGGTTTACCGGACAAGCATCTCGCTGTGCTCACCACATTATGGGAACATATGTATGCTAGAGTTATACCAGTTATCGACAACAATAGACCAGCGAAAAATGCTGTTGTTTAACTGATGTTGAAAACGTAACTCTCTACGGCGCGGTGTGAAGTCCTCTTTGAAGGGACATGTAGATAAAAGACATGCTGGGACCAACCTCTGTGGACGGTAAATACGTCTGATGCGCGTAAATAAAATGAGTAACCGAATTACAGCTTTAAAATTAGGGATACTGTCTAGTCTATGTTGGCTTACAGTACACTAAATTAAATGTATAAATGCGCGAACTTCCAACTTAAAATATGTATGTGCAAACAGCTCATACGATTGTGTGCGCTAGATGACCAAAGTCCGTTGTGGTTAAAGCATGTTCTGCCTACGAGGAATATCGCCGTAGCGTTGTCATTGGACCGAAAACTAGCAAAGCATATCGAATAGGTTCAAGTAAGCAACGCTGTCGATCTGCTTATGTGCTCAATCTTCAAGATCAAAGCACGTATATATGAAAGGAGTATATGGTCATGGTAACCCAGCGAGATGCATAAGGGAAGTTTACGAGCTGTAGTGAAATCACATGGAAAGTCTACTACCTGGTGAAATGGAACACAAGTGAAAAGATTAAGCATCAGCAGAATATTTAATCTTAGTACAAAACGATATATAGTTCCGATTGCTTAGATAGTGTAAGGGGTTTCTGACACGATCGGACAAACAGATCCCATGAAATGGACTGGAAATACCCCCTTACCACGCCTCTGGCTAAGCGGAATGCATCTTTGTTTTTGAAGCCCACATAGATGTGTTTAGATCCAATGGTTTTTGATTGGTTATGTATGGTTGGAATCATACAGCAAAGCTCGCTAAAATTTCCTATCTGTTCGTTGATATCAAGATCGTTGTTCTTTCAAAATTACGGAAGAAGTGACTTGATTTTATCTGCATATGCAATCTCCCGCAAAATATATCTCATTCCCTGTATAGCCCGACAAGTGAGATCTTCCGTCTGATCTGGTTGTTTGAAAACATCGCCTACTAGCAATGAGGCGAGCCAAATTGAGCATTCCAACATGTAGTGCGTCCAAAGCCTCGGTTCTACATGTCGTGCATCAGGCCACTTGAAGCTGCTGTGTAACACACATTGACGGAAGAGACCGAACTTGGGTAAAGATGTTTGAAAGTAGGTGTCTGGCTGCTAGAGATAGTTGACTGATCAGTCGATCAAATCAAGGCAAGGGCGAGCTTAGAAACACGCGTAATTGCAAAGCATATCCAAGTCACTCGTTCCCAGAATGACTTTACTTTTATTTCGAAATGCTAGTTTTAAAGTGCTAGCTTTGAGGAAGAACATATTAACTTATTACTGTCGAGAGAGTTCATGCGTCATGAGCTTGTCTGGACGACGAAATAATCGTCTAAGTTAGCATACCTCGAACAAACCTCTCCCTAAAATACGAGCGACGAGGAGGCAACCTTCACTCTACAGCTCTTGATTCCCCGCAACCCCCCTCAATTATGCAGATCATGACTATATCAGATCGAAAACCGCTCAAATGTCTTGTCTATTCTCTCTAACTTCCAGGTTTTAGCAGCCGGAACCAAAGTGTCCTTGGCAAATGGCTTACAGTTGATCAACAAAACAACCCGGCTGGTTTCAGTCGTTCAGTGGGTAAACTATAAAAATTCAACCGCCAAAGCGAAGCAGTCACCCAATGAATCATCGAAAAGTTCGAGTAATACTTCAGTGAAAATAGTTTTCAATCCTTCCCCGGTTTGGAATATATGATATAAGGAAATGGTTTGTGTAAATCAGTCTTACACGTGAGAAAACAGTCAACGCAACCAACATAACTGTGCTCGGAATAACTAACTGCCTAAAATGCACATTTAACCAGCAGACGCGTTGTGCGTTGTGTTCGGTAGTGCTGACGATCCTGTCAGCTTTAGTGGTCTGCAAAGAATTCTGGCTATTAGACATGCGCTGTAGTGGCATAATGCTGAAAAAGTCATTAAGGACAAGTACCAGAGTACTGTTAGCAAAAGATATTCGCAAAGATGCAAAGTAACAAATCATGCGACAATTTTTTTTAAAATCTGCTTACGAGATATTTGCTGTCGCTTGAGATGGCAATTGAAAGTATAGGACCAGTGTGATAAGCGTATGATGCACCGCGCTTTCCACCTCGAATGACAGCTGTCTTCTGATATGTATCTAGATTCCCTTGTAAAATCGAGGGAAGAATGAGCAAAGCGCCAAAATATACATTTCATAACGTTTGAATCTTTCCCGCCTGTGAAGGCGTATTTCCCATCATCCGAAATACAGACGCACGAAACTGCTCTTTTGTGACCCAAAAGGAATATTATCCGCTCGGGATCTGGTGGTGATAGCTAATCAGAAATTAAAATGTACTTCAGGAGTTTACCAACCTTATGGGCTAAAGTAACAAGTAACCGTCCTTTCTCGAGCAAAGCCTCCTCTCTCAATCGGAGTGAGAAGGCGCTGAGCTCCTCTTCATCAGAACCAACTAAAAACAAAGGAGGAATAACAAAGAATGCCAGCTTACTTTGTTCACGGGCTTTTTGAATAGCCTTTCTAGTCAGTCGGATGTGTTTTTCATGTGCACTTTCCAATTCATCGGTGACACTATGTTCGGATTCATCTTCAGACCTACATACGCGTGTAAACAAATTAATCGACATACGACATAATCTCATCGCTGTCTGAAGGAATTTCTTCTGTAACATTCTTCTTTTTTTGGGAGTACAAAGTTAGATTGAACAACACCCAACCTGTAGTTTCGATGTCCGTTTGGCCTTCATTGTCGGTATCTATCAAAATATGGTAGTCGACGAATAAAATCCGGTGATGGAAAAGGGCTGCGGACGAAGAGTGGTCGTGCATGAGTGAGGGAGTGGCAGTAATACGAAAAGCAGCCGTTTGTATGCGGGTTCAAGAAGCCGGTAAGATACTTCAAAAACACCAAATTCCAAACATTATATCAAACTAGGAATCTGTGCCAAACTGCACACGGACGACCCGAAGGTTATCCATTGCTCCACTGTCATTGTTTTTATTAGAACTGTGGGGCTCAGTCTACTTATCCTTCCTGAATTCATACTGAAAAAGCAATTATTCTTTTTTAGACAGAGCATCTACTGGACGAATAACAATAAGTCCCTCCTGCGGTGTTTAAAATTGGTTTCGCTTTTGTCCCTTGTGAAATTTCTGGTAGTTTTTTCGTTGGTTTGCCGTCGATTTACCGTGTATTCCCACCCATATATTGCGTTGTTGTAAGAATCGCGCAACATGCCCGGAAGAACCCTTTCCTGGTTAACATGATCCTCACATATTCTCAGCCTATTAAATCTGGTCCACTGACATTTGCCATTAAGCCTGTCGCCCGGAAACTCACTTCTACTTTCCTAGTGCGGCAACTTTGAAAAAAATTTGAGACCGCTAATATGGAGGCTGAATATCGTATCCTACGGGCAAGAATTCCTGATAACTGCAGTAATAACTGAGGCATTCGACCTCTCCGTTTCTCCGATCGGCAAGCATACCCTGCCTCTAGTGGACATTATGCTGCGCGGTGAACATTGGGCACGTAATGCCTCTGGTGGTAAACTGCAATTGGCTGGCGAGGTTGACTGCTCCATAAGCTTCACTAACTCGACGGCACAAGCCACGCGCTACCTGGGGTCATGCCCAAAATTGATCTCATATGGCTGAATTGGATTGACAAGCCGAATCTGCTGGATGAGCCAATTAACTCTATTTACAACCTCATGCACGCAGTACCCGGAGGTGTCCTTGAACTCATTCTGCGAAGCGTTCACTCGGGGTCTTCCTACAACACCATGCATCTATATTCGCCGACGAGCTTAGACGGCTCACAAAAGCAAGAACCAGGAACTGGGCCCCCTACAGAAGGCTGGTGTTCTCCAACAGAATAGCTACTCTGCATGAGCCGCACCGATCGCGTTGATAAAGCTAACGTGACCATCCGGTTGTGTTCAGGCTTCACCACCGGTTTCAATGCTGCATTGACTACCCACCAGTACCATCTGCCTCGTCCCAACGACTTGTTCGTGAAAGTGAACAGGAGTAGTGTTTCGCGAAGATTGCCTCGGCCGATGCTTGCCTCCAGGTTTAAGTCGAGGAATGTCAAAATCCTGGCCCAACTATTCGTGAACAATGTTCCTTGTTCAATATTCGTTATCAGTGTCTCAAGATTACCAAAAGGGATACTGAGGATTTCATCACCCATGCCGGTGTAGTCAACAGAGAATGCGAGCGCTTTCAGCTCAGCTCCATGGCCGAGAATCAGTTCAAGTGTCTTATCTTCGTGGCTGGTCTTCAATCGCCACATGATGCAGATATTCGGACCCGGCTACTCAACAGAAGTGAACAAAATCCAGAGTTGACGCTTCAGAAACTTACCACCAAATGCCAGCGTCCAATCAATCTCAAGGCTGATGCTGCTATCATTGGACATTCTGAATTCTCTCAGCCGGATATGGTATGCAAAGTAACTCCCAAAAGGCAGTCAAATTCCAAACGAAATCCAAGAAAACCGCCCACACCTTGTTGGTTTTGTGAAGAGTGGCACTATTCACGCCACTGTCCCTACCGGAACCACAGGTGCAGTGCTCTCGAAACTGTCCCTACCGGAACCACAGGTGCAGTGATTGCTCTCGAAAGGGTCACAAAGAAGAAAATTGCAGAGACAACTTCAGAAGCTCGAGCAAACACCGACCCGACAAAAGGACGCAGGCAGAGGCCATAACCACCATATTCTGGATGAAATCACTCGGTCGACGCAAATTCGTCACATTATGTATCAAAGGCACACCAGTTACCCTCCAACTGGATACAGGTTCTGCACTCACTCTGATTTCAAAACGAACCTGAGATATAATTGGAAGGCCGCCAGTGGAACCCACAAAGTGCACCCTTCGTGATGCATGTGGTGGGAACCTCAAACTGACTGGTAAGTTTAACTGTCCCCTAACGTTCAAGGGGAATTAACTCAATGGTACACGCAACCTCACGAACTATACAGGCCTTGATCTTTTGGGCCTGGGGTGGATTAATGAGCTTCAACTCTTGTATCAACCCCTCAATGCCGTTTGTAACGAAACAACTGCAAATGGCTCTGATACGTTCAAAACAACATCACGTCCTGACGATTTTCTGATGGCCATAGTTAAAGCGAAACCAGAGACCGGATGGAGCGTACGCGACACAACAACCATTCAGCTTCTGGCGTCTGGCAGCGGAAGCCCTCTCACTCCAGTCCAATTCGGTGAATCCTGCCTGCCGCCTGCAAAGTTTCATCCGCGGTCCGAGCTCTTCAGTCTGCACTCGCAGATTCATGCAGACCGTTCTACTGCTATCCGGAAAGTTAAGAAAGGGGGACTGGCAGAAGGGACACCGAAACAGTCACACAGAAGACAGATACGGATTTAAGGATCTAAGGAATGCTCTCCATGGTTGACACATGGTCGACTATGTCAAACACGAGACACAAGTAAGATCATCAGCACGGCTACGTCACGGGAATCAACTTCAGACAACAGACTGCTGCTCCGTAAGGGGACCGTGTCGCATGGGACGCCGAACAGCCGTGACATGTAGTGTCTGTAATCCGTTGTCACATTTACCATTCTGCCTGAACTTGAACCACACTTTGTAACTGTCGTTCACATGGTATCATGACGTTTGTTTTAATGTTACGAATACACAATTTTTCCGGCGCGACCTGCTGACTTCTTGCTGAACGACTGTATTTACGCCCGTCGAACTGTTTGTTGACTGTTGAACCAGTGGGACTAAATCTCTGTGTTTGTGTCAACTGTTAAACGTCACAATAAATCCCTGTGACACTTTTTAGCCGTGAATAATTTTCCTACCGTGGAATATTTCACTCACACGGAGCCATCTGCAGGAAATCTCGACGAGTGAATATTTTCCTCTCACAGCCAGTTACTGCATTCAGATCGGTGTAGTGGACTACTGAACCTACGCACTCGTGAGTCCCCATTTGACTACTCATTCCTTTCCTATTGTGATTTTTGTGATTTTGCATTGGTTACTTTTGCTTGTTAATTTATCCGAACACGCTGGTTAGGTCCTAGTCCGCTACATACTTGGTGAGCCCGAATCATTCCTTAGTTTTTTCTTCTCTGCAGTACTCCCGTGCTTTATTGTATTTATTTTCCACGTCAGCATGGCTTCTGAACAGACACAGACACCCGAAATAGACAACGTGGTTTACATTAAGTTACCTGAATTCGGTGCACGTGATCCGAGGCTATGGTTCGCCCAACTTGAGGCCATTTTCGAATCCCGTCGCATTACCTCGCAGAGTAGCAGATACAATTATGTGGTAGGATGCTTACCAGACTTCGTTGCCCGAGAAGTCTCTGATTTAATATACACCCGACCGTCCACCGATCCGTACGATGCTCTCAAAGCAGCTATCATTTCTCGTACCGCTTCCAGCGATGAGCAGAATCTACGGAAGCTTCTCTCCGGTGTTGACGTCGGCGATAAAACACCGTCACAACATCTCCGCCACATGATGCACCTGCAAGGTAAGCATCCGGTCAACGATGCGGTTTTGAAAGAACTTTGGCAACAAAGCCTGCCCATCGAAGTCCGTAAAGTCATTTCCGTCATCGAGCAGGATTCTTCCTTAGCGAAGTTAGCTGAGGTGGCTGACCGCGTCCATGAAACCTGTAGACAGTTCGTGGTCTCTAACGTTCAGCAACAATCCACTTCGCAATCTAACCTGGAGGTCGAGTTCAGTGCAATGAAAGCTCAATTTACTGAGTTATCCCTCCAACTGAATGAAGTCACGAAACTCATTGGTCGCCCCCAACAACATAGACGTTCTAGGTCTCGATCCCACAGTCGTGCTCCCAAGCACAGTGACCAACCTGGCTGGTGCTACTACCACCGTCGCTTCGGTGACCGCGCTATCCGATGCACCAGACCTTGCACTTTCCCCACAAAGCCTTCGAATTCGGGAAACGCCATGGCCGGCCAGTAATGGCGACCACTGCACCCGGCTCCTCTACCTGTCGCCTGTTCTTCGTATATGACCGCTCCACGTCCTTGAGTTTCCTCATTGATACCGGTGCTGAGGTTAGTGTAATTCCTCCTACACGCAAGCATAACCTACGGCCGGTGGCATATACTCTGCAGGCAGCCAACGGTACGAGCATTAAGACCTATGGTGAAAAGCTTCTTACTCTCGATCTAGGTCTTCGTCGTCAGTTCCCTTGGGTTTTCACAGTGGCCGACGTTAAAAAACCCATTATTGGTATGGACTTTCTCACGTCATTTGGTCTCACGGTTGATCTCCACAGACGGCAGTTGCTTGACAATTCGACAACTCTCTCCATAAATGGCAAAGCTTCATCCATTAATTCTATTGGAATCCGCCCAGCTTTGCCGGATAACCGTTACACAGCACTGCTTCGCCAATTCCCAGAGATCCTGAAACCTGCTTCCAAGACCACTTCCGTAAAACATGACGTTTTCCACCATATCTCGACAAAAGGCCCACCCACCGCATCCCGTCCACGGAGGTTAGCTCCGGAGAAGCTTGCCATAGCCAAGACAGAATTTCAGCATTTGCTTCAACTGGGTATCATACGACCATCAAGCAGCCCCTGGTCATCTCCACTGCATATGGTCCCCAAAAAGTCCGAGGGAGATTGGAGACCATGTGGCGATTATCGTGCACTAAATCGTGTCACCATCCCGGACAAATACCCAATTCCGCATCTGCATGATTTTGCCCTTACTCTTCACGGCAAATCTGTCTTCAGTAAATTAGACCTCGTCAGAGCATATCACCAGATACCTGTCGCTCCAGACGATATTTCCAAAAC